TACAAAATGAAGAAAGATGTAAAGTATATATAAAATATATAAATAAATAAAATGTATCAGTATCCTTATACCAAAACTGGTCCAACACTGCCTATACCAAGCATTTAATGTTTCTTCTTTGCTGTCTCTATCTGAATATCTTTTAACTTTTATTCCTATTCTTATGTTTGCCTCACTAGGGCTGGGGAAACTGTAGTATTTTTATACTACCCCAGAGTTTCATTATTTTTTCTGTCTTGCTAGGGACCTGATCCTCTTAATCAGGGCTGGTTCCAGCTGAGATGCTCTTACATTCAGGTGTTGAGGACATTTGTGTCACGGGACTTTTGACTCTTTGGGTTTCATACAGATTTTTGTATTCTGTAACTTTCCCAGATGTGATGCAGCCCTTCAACAAGTCACCCATAGGTACTGACCTGCGATCCTGACATTCTGGCCTGACCTGATGGCATCACTGGAAATGTTCACAGCCTTGAGTGGAGACACTTCATAATGGGCGGGACTGCTGGGGTGTGGAGCCCCTCATTTTGAGGAACAGTTCCTTGCAGCAAACTCTTTGTGGAGCCCTTGGACAACCCAGAATCGTTAACTGGGTGCTCTGTGGAATCCCCCAACCCATCACCTGCAGGGAACCCTTCTACCTGGTCATTCTCCAAGATGAGGCCTGATCCCACTGCAGGTACTGGGCTCTTTCTAGATGGTGTGGCTCCTTGTGCTTATACAAGATAAATAGCTACTTCACAAATACATGATGGAAAACACACACATATATATATATTTACAATATGTATACTATAAGTGTGGTGTGTAAGTGTGTGTGTGTGTGTGTGTGTTGTGTGTATCCTAGACTATCTGTTCCTGCTTTGGTAATAATTATCTTTACTTTATATAAAACTTTGCTCTTTTTGGAGAATCATGTGAACTCAATTTTGTAGTCTAAAACTTGTCTCAGTTAAGCAAATATGTAAGAAATATTGTATTAACATTCAAAATCTGATCATTTCTCCCCTAGGAGATCCTTTAAAACATCTTGATCCTCTCAGCCTGCTTCAGATATTTGAAAAATATGACGGCTTCCTGGCATAAGTTGCTTCAGGTGCTTCAGGAGATCAGCAATCATCCAAGGAACCCAGGATCCTTTTAGGAGATTTCCCCTTCAGGGACCAAAATCTTGGCATTAGAGCCTCCTTGAGCACCTATAATGGGTAGGAGTGATGCTCCTTTTCTTCTTAAACCCTTGTAGCTTGGCAGAGCTAGAAATACATACATTAAGGTCACATGTTTTACACTGATCTTCTCAACAGTGTTTCAGCTTCATAAACTATTTTCTCCACACAGAGAGAAAACAGGGAATAGCACTTCCTTTATATTATTAAAGTTCAATTCATCATGCAAGTACCACAATAAAAACTTACCAGACTTGTCTTTCTGAATAGCTTTATCTTCAAAGTAGCAGAACATGACCTGGAAGCGGTCAGGATCTGTTGAACGTAGTACCCCTAACAAGGGGAAACAACTGAGTAAAGTTTGAAAATTCCAGGTCTTTTCCTATCACAGATTTGATACTGCCCACAACTGTGACGTCATGAGAAATAGATGCACTATGACACTCCAAAGGGGCAAATGCTGATATGGGCTTTCTGGAGGGCAGTTGTCCACCATCTGTCATAATATTCCCACACAGTTCCACGCAGCAACCACATTAAGGATTACACACATAAGACTCTTCTAACCACACTGGCTGAATATTCCAGTAACAGAAGATGGATCTGCTAGACCTAAGTATATGTACCATTTGCGGGCACATCACACAGTCACCAAACGAGAGGTAGCTCTATGTGCTATACAGAAAAATACAATTACTGCTAGGTGAAAAAAAGAATGGTACAGAAGACACAGGTATAGCATGACCCCACTGATAGTTTTCCTAAAGGACTCAATGTGCCTTGTATATGTGGAGGATATATATGCTTGCATATGCACAGAAAGTTCTGGAAGGAAAAGTAAGAGACTATCAACATTGGGCATCTCTGACCTTAGGGCTAGGAAAGTGATATTTGTATTTTTCACCTTAAACACCTTATATACCACCCCAGTGTTGTTTTTTTGTTTGTTTGTTTGTTTTTTTGTTTTATAAATATGGACATTTTTACTTTTATAGTAAAAAATGTCTTTAGCCTTGAGGAAAATGAAAGGAAAGAAATGCATACTCTTGAGCCATGGCCTCTGTGAAGCGGGGGATGTTCAGGGCTTGGGGGCTCTGCTAAGACAGTGTGGGCTATTGCTCAGCACAGTGCATTAGGAACTTCTGCACCAACCTCTAAAGGGTTAAGCCTCAGCAGAACAGGCCAGGGGGTACATGCATTTTTGTTCCTTTTTTTTTTTAAGATTTATTTATTTACGCATAGAAGAATTGGGGTCTAGGCCAAAGGTTCGGGGGAGTTAGGGGAGAGAGGATTCAACAGAGACAGAGTGGGAAGCAGAACAGGCAGATCTACTGAAATACATTGCTGAGGGGAGCAGCAAGCGAGACCGGAGACAGATAGCATTGCTGCACCATGTGGGTTAGCTCCCTAGCCACGGATCAAATGCATACTGCAGTGGATGGTAAAAGCTTGATAGTGCTGAGACTTTAACCCCTGCACATAGCTTTAATGTTATTTCTCACATTTTCCACTTTGTTGGTTAAAAGCTCTCTCAATAACTAATGGCTGGGATTCTAAACCTTTGAATAAAGGTTTTGGGTTGCTTTTCCAAACTAACAAGAGTACTTTCAGGGGCCTGGCAGGCAGCCCGAATTAGGAATTGAGGTCTGGGAGCTGCCTTTAGACAGGCCCTTTGGTCTCTTTTGTCATCCAACTATTCTGTCAAGAAAGAGCCTGTCTTGAGAACCTGAGACTGCCTTTCACAGGCACAGAGGTGGGAGGAGGAGGAGAAGGCAGCCTTGTCTGTAGAAACATGAGGCACACAAGGTTGAGAGGATCTGGGCACATTTGAAAGCTAGCAGTCATACATGCTAGTGGGAACTGTAGGGGATGGTGCTGTAGAGGATGGTGGTAAGATCAGTGGCTTGTTTTCCCTTTATATATTCCAAGGTTTTGTGTAATGTTCTCCTGTGACTTTTGTAACTAAGTAGGAAAAATGAGAAAAGCAAAGAAAGTCAAAATTCCCTTGGCTCTATGTGACACTGGAGAAAGATGTCACTAGTTTTCAAATTCTGCTCTGTTGTGGCTCCCTGGAGCTGCTGAGAGGCAAGGAAAAAGTTCAGGGGTAAAGATTAATTCCCAATTAAGTAAATCAGCCTTAATCTATTTTATATATTGAGCTTCCAAGTAAACTCCCTTTACCACAGAGTTTCATGACATCAAATAAACGTTAAAATAGTGGTGTCTCCAAATAGCCCTCCTTGCAAGAATAACATTTTATTTTGCAAACAATTTGAGAAGGGCATTATTCTAATGATTTACTGCACCAATCTGGTGCACTTAAATAGGCTCAGTGTAATGTGAGCTTTATTGGTGACAGGGAAGTATCAGTCGGTAGCTAAGTGTATTTGGAAGCAAACCCAGTGGTGCCATCAGCCTTATCACAGTAGGTTTGGAGCACCCACACTGGCAGCAGCAGACAGCTGGGGTATGAGCCCCTGGATGCTTCTTCCAGCCTTCCTTTACTATAGACAGCCAGGCACAGTGCTGAAAAGTCTTTTTGGACCTCAGCACAAATCAGGGACTATTTTACCCTGGGCAACTTACTTAACTGCTTAGTGTCTCAGTTTCCTCATCTGCAAAATGGGTATGTAATAGAACCTACCTCACAGGTTTGCTAGAGAGCAAATCAATACACACAGTACAGTGCCTGGCATAGCGTAAGTACTCACTCCATGTAAATGCTGGTATTGTCATGATGACAATTACTGATCATAACAATTATTGCAGCTGTTATGTTAGCTGTGGCTACAGATGCTTCCTGAGAGTCAGGCTACCCTGTGGGATTATTCTGAAGCAGGCCCTTTCCAACTTCCCATTTGCTGTCTGTATTCAACTGTTATCCTAGAATATTCTCAGTCGGGGTTGGTTCCTAATTAGTGTTCTTGCCCAGTCAAGTAAGCTGAGTTTAAAATCTATTGTGACTGCTTAGAAGCTTACTCTCTATGGAGGTGATAGGGGTGAAAACAGTTTTGAAAACAGGGGTGAAAATAGGTTGTTCTTAGACATGACGTTTGGTGCTCAGGAGGCAGGAGCACATAAGAAAGAAGAGTGTTTTTTGTGTATTTGGTTCTTCTAATAAAGTTTACATGTCTTGGGAAGAACTGAAAAATGTTCTACGCCTAAAAGACACAAACAATTTAAAATCAGCTCAATTGTAGATGTACAGGGAGGCAAAGACTTGTCTACCTCATATATTCCAGCCGGTAAACAGACAAGAGATAGGTGGACATGGCGAAGTCCAGCTTGTTGATGAGGGCAGACACTTCAGGGGCAGGGTCCAGAAGGTTGATGATGGTGCTTCGGAGTTCACTCAGTTCAGCCTGGAAGAAAAGGGATTTTGAAAGCTCAAGTAGAACATTTTAGGGGAAGACCACCTTCCTCCAGGAGACATGAACCCCAAGGATAAACACATGTCAACAAGGATAACAAAAGGATGTGTTCTTATTGTTCTAGAGATCTTGCAAAACCCCTGCCCTGCATCATCTGTCCTTGGCAGGACATCCTTACAGGGGTGACTGTGTCATTTTTCATCGCCGAATTATACTGGAGAACGGACCGCAGCGGTTCTTTGCTGGGAAAGGTAAGCAGGGGGGACTTGGTGGCTATTTCACAGACCCCCTCATACCACTCTTCCGGCCAGAGTCCTGCAAGAGAGAGCGTATGTGTGAGACTAGCAAGACTGTCGTGCTTCTCATTGGCATCAACATTGACAATCTGTAACATCATCATCCTTTGTTTGAGCCAGTTATCCTAAAACAGGGCATAGAAACGTGTCTGTCACCTAACCTGAGCAAGTTTTCCCTAAGATATGTGGCATTCTTAGAACCAAACTACATCTGGGAAGTGCATCATCTGTGAATACTTGTAGGAAAGGAGCAACTGTATTTCAACTGAATTTGAAGGTGTGCAGCACATTCATCACCAGGTTGAGTTTCTACAGCGCCTATTTTTCACTCTGCACTTATTTCCTAGGACAGCACACATACCCTACCTGACCCCTCCACAGCAAATCCCATCAGTACAGAATACAGCCAAAAATCCCGGAAGAGCTTCTGCAATCGAGGCTTAGCTTCCTTGATGGGTGGCAACCGTCGGGTAAGCTGATGTGCCAGGGGGAGAAGGAGAAAAAGAGGTTAATTGCTCATGCAACTCCAAAATCAACAAAGGTGAAATCAACAAGACTCATTTTCCAACAGCATTCTCCTAGAATCAGACTTGGTAGGAAAAGGCTCACTGAGCAGTGACCAACACTTCTTGGTAAGTTCACCACTTGGCCAACATTGAGGATCAAATATTCTGCTTTAAAGTTGTCTGTACTTCCTAGAGTTCTTCCATAGAAGTGTTCCTTCCACAATCAGAGAGAGGGTGTAGGTGCTAGCTCAGGGTTTGCAACAGGCTGTGTGGGAAAAGAGCAGTTTCTCCTTGAAAGCTACCAAAATGTTGTGCCCTTAGGGAGTCAATCATTCAGAAAGACCTAAGAATGTAGGGAGCACTCTGGGAAAGTGCTGAGAGGTAGAAAATGCTGGAGAGGGCAGCAGTGGACAAATGTAGCTCCGGCAGGAAGCAAGAGCCACAAGAGCACAGTTGATAAGAGGTTTTCAGCTTGCCAGTGGCCAAGGATGGCAGGTATAATAACAGGCTGTGGGACTGACTGCCTTTGAAGTGATGTACCTGCCTGGGACGAGGCCCACATAACAGTGGAAGCATGACAGAGGTTCCTAGGCCACAGTCTTGGGTCAGTGTTCAAGGTCAGGCTTCCAGAATATTTCACTCTCAATGGATAACAGACCACAAGTGAGTGGGAGACCCAAGGTACTACTGGCACAAGACAAAGTGACTCTCAAAAATCTACCTCTGACTAGGGACTTTCCCATGACTGAGATTCTTGGCGTTCTCCTGAGGATATGGGGCTGGAAGTACCCTGTGGGTTTCCTTCCCCCTGCTCTGACAATTCCTGGCAACTGTGCCAGCTGAGAATGTGCTGATCCAAAGGGAAGGGAAGCCTACTGTGGAATCATAAAAGGAACTACAAGTGCTCTGAAGTATGCTGAGACAAAAGTCATGGGATGGCTGTGGCTGGTAACTATCCTGTTCAGAGACATTGCTGCACTTCAGGGAAGACAGAAAGGAGGCAGGAGTGACTAGAAAAGGATCTTTAGATGATGGGGCTCTGGTCTGGCCCCAAGTCAGTAGAGGCAAAAGCTGAAGAAAGGGTTACAAAAGATAACTGACGGGCTTTCTCCTAACAAGATCAAGGTCAGGGGGAAAAGAATGAAATGGGTAAAGAAGACAAAAGATGAAAAAAAAAAAAAAACCAAATGCAAATCATGAATCTCGACTGGATCCTAGATTTTTTGCAAAGCTATCAAAGTAGTCATGAGGAAGTCTGACTTGACCAGAAGATCGATATCTGAGACTGTGCTCTTCCCAATGTAACAGAGACACAAAGCAGAGACAAGACCCTTCCTCTTAAGAGACAGTGGCTCCTGTGCCCAGTGTTGGTGTCACACACTTTCAAACACTTCAGGAAGAGACTCTCCTCCCCCAAAACATGCAGGCGGAAGTATGCACAAATGGCAAAAACCGTTTTATCTAAGGTGGTATTTGAATATCCTTTATTCAATTCTTCCATATATTTAAAAATCTCAAAATAAAAAGTTAGAAAAAATATCTATGAGGCAACACTATTTGAACCTGGAAAAGAAGCAATGGAGTATGTGTGACAGAGGGGTCCGCTTTACCATGGGGACCCAAATCATGTACCTTTAATGAAGAATAGGTCCAAAACTGTGAAAAGTGGCAAGAAGGGCTAAAATCTAGTTTTTTCAGTAATGGGTTACCTGACCAGAAATCCAAATATACAGGAAACATTATTGGTTTTGGTTTGAAAATAACAAAAGTTGCGTAATCATAGAAAAGAAATTCCAATAAAGTATATAGAGCATAATAAATGAAAGCTTTCCACCTCCTGCTGTTTCCAATGTTAAAAGCTGGCTGCCTCTCCTTCCTGATCCTTTCTGTCAATAAAAATGTACACTATGGAAGTGGTAATAGCTAATGTTTACAGAGTATTGATTGTTCTGAGCACCAGTCTATGTGCTTTCCATACAGTTAACATGTTATTGAATTTTCACAATGACTATACAGTTGGTATAACCATTGCCCTCCTATCAGAGGAGAGAGCACAGAGAACAGGAGGTAGGGATTGGAGTGTGACTTCAGCTGGGGGGTTAGTGGTAAGAGAGTAGTAGCCAAGTGACTGTTTGGATGGAAGATGCTCCTGTAGAAAGAACAGGAAGGGTTAAAGCTCTGACAGGAGCCAGGGCTCAGGGTGTGTGAGAAGAGAGGATGGAGGCATCTGGCCAGGAGCAAATTGTGTAGGGCTTAGCAGACCCCACAGAGGAAGAAACAGCGTCTTCAAGCTGGCCTGAAGGCACACATGCTGAAGACTTAGTATCGAGAAGGAATAATGAAGGTTCTGGAAAAAACAGCTGGTCAAACCTATTGAATATTAACCAAAGTCACATCCAACTACACCTTCTAGACCCTGAAGTCAATGAATAGCCCTTTGTATGCCGTAAGTTCTAAATCCAAGAAACACACATGTTCTCTACAGGCCCCTCACACACCCATAGATTCTGAGTCACACTCACTTAGAAAGGTTGTCTGGGTGACACTACCAACACACTTTGGTGCACTGAAATCAGGGAGCAGAGCTCTGTGGTAATTTGCTTTCCAGACAACCCAGAGTACTCATATAATTTTTTTAATTACAAAATTAAGACTTTAAAAAAAAAAAAAAGATTTATTTATTTATTTATTTATTTATTTATACAAGCACTGAATACAGTCAGAAGCGTGGGAGGGTGAGAGAATTCACCAGAGCCAGAGCAGGAAACAGAACAGGCAGATTGACGAAGAAATACACTGCTGAGGGGAGCAGCAGGCGCTGCAGGAGAGGTCTGTTGCGCCATGTGGGACCCTCGCCAGCGGCCAGGGATCGAACCGGCGCTGCAGAGGCTGCGGGCAGCTTCGCAGCCCAGTGCTCAACCGCTGCGCCTCCAGGAGAGGCCCAAATTTAAGACAATTTTTAAAAAAAGATCATAGCACCACAGATCCCTATGAAGGTCTAAGTGGACCTGTGCTTTAGTTACACTGCTAAGTAACACCGTCCATCTCAAAAAGGAGCTGGACTGCAAATTCTGGCAGAGAATACAGAGATACCTGACTAGAGAAAGGGCAATGCCCAGGTCTCTTTATGCTATAAATCATTAATTGAAAGGTTCGGGGCCTCCCCGTGGCGCAGCGGTTGAGCGCTGGGTTGCGAAGCTGCCCGCAGCCTCTGCGGCGCCGGTTCGATCCCCGGCTGCTCCCTGGCCACCGGAGGAGGGCCCCACATGGCGCGCCCTCTCCTGCCGCCCGCTGCTCCCCTCAGCAGTGTACTTCGGTCCTTCTGCCTGCTCTGCTCCCCGCTCTGGCTCTGGTGAATTCTCTCACCCTCCCGCGCTTCTGACTGTACCCAGTGCGTGTATAAACAAAAACAAACAAACAAATAAATAAAAACATGCCTCTATTAAAAAAAAAAATTCTTAAAGAAAGGTTCGGCGTGGTAAAGAAAAGGAGAGCCAGGCTACATTTCTCAAAGGGAGGGAAAGTTTATTGCGCCCCGGGTGGACCTCACAGACCCAAGGTGGGGGTCAGTGAAGCCGTGCACCTTGTTAGGGGGAAGCAGGGTTTTATAGGGTGAGGAGAGGTTGGGTGGGTAGTTGGGCTCATATGGTGGGAAAAGTTTGTAGGGCAGGTAGAGGTTCTTTGTCTGAGATGAGACTCGTAGTGGGAGGGGGGAGGCTCATTGTCTGAGTCCTCCAGGCAGGTATCCACATTCCTGCCCCCCAGGTGGGCTTCCTGGTTGGCTCCTGCATTCTAGCTTCCTGCATGGACCTTTCATTAATCTTATACTCCCCCTCCATTTTTCACTGAGAAACAAGCTCACAGACACTGGTTCAGTAGCTGAACTAGCTGCATTAGCCCTGAAGACCAGGCTGAGGCCAGATATTACAATCATCCAAGAGGGAAAAAACATAGTTGGAGGGCAGATGAGCAGCCTCAACTTTCAGGGCAGCATTAGCTTTCACAGATGCAGCCCAGCCCTAGAAGTCTGAGGAAGGTCTTGGTTATGTAGTAGCTTTGTCAAGGGCTGTTCCTGTATGCACACTGAGACAACAGTCATGCATCTAAAACATCACTTACAGGGAGGGGGCGGAGCAACATGGCGGCGAGGAGACGCTGCGAGCGAGATCTCCCATTAAAAAAAGTGAATAGGGAGGAAAAGCGGCAGGTCCCAGTGAGAACTGGGACACGGAAGATAAACGGGTGACTCCAGCAAACTACCCGAAGAAGAAAGTGGCCATAAAAGAGGACTAGAAGGGAGGGAAGCGCAGAACCCTGCTCCCCTCCCCCGCCCACAGAGGCGGCACTCTCCGACCGGCAGAGAGGGAGAAAAACAACAAACCAAAACAACCCACAAGAACAAACTACGCAGCAAGCGGGACCGTGAGTGGAAAGGAACTATTGCAGCCACCACACCCGTGAACGGGAGCTGAGGCGAACCCTGCAGGATTCGCCGCAGCGAGCGAACGGCTCCGGGCGCCATTAGAGAAGAACAAAGACCCCGGGAGACCCGCACACAGCCCGGGCTGCCGGTAAGCTGGCGCAGAAACGCGGCGCGCTCGGGGAGCTTGAAAAGCAAGTGCAGACCGGAATCGCGGCTGCCCAGGAACCCGCTCCTGCGACCTAGGCTTGCGGGAGAGACGACCTAGGCTTGCGGGGGAGACGCGCGGAGGTCCTCACTGAGGTGAAGGTCCCTCCCTGAGTAAGCAGGAACCAGGCACCCGGGCACGGAGCGGTGCAAAAGGCGCCATTCCTGCGCCACTGAACTGGGCTACAGCCCGCGTCCTGGAACTGAGGGCTTTGAACTGAGACCCGGGGCACGAAAATTCGGGGCGTGGGTTCTCCACGACGGTGGGGCACAAGGCAGACACAGCACCCCAAAGCTGTTGAGGTGTACCCTACCATTCCCGCTCTGTTCCCTGTCCCACGGGGTGGGGGGACGAAAAACAGCCCCACAAGGACAATAGGAGAGATCTCTGGCGCCACCTAGTGACCAGGAAAAAAAAGTCACTAACACCCCATAGAACAGGAAATTTCTTAAGACTGCTTGAAAAGGGCAGAAGGCTTCTGCAGTGGCCAGCCGGGAAGTTATTCCACGCCAGGCCCCTTCCGACCAGCAGTCTGAGCCCACAGAGGAGCAGGCACGCACGTCCGGGGCAGACCGGGGGCGCAGAAGAGTGTGCCTGAAACCGGAGGCGCAGGGACTGCATCCCGCTTCGCCATTTGAGAACAGGGACATTCTTCAGTAAAAACTGCCTAAAACCAGCAGAAAGCTCCCCCAGAAGGCAGAGATGGCTCCTGGAAGAGCCAGAGGGGAGCGGAGAAGTTCACCCAAGATGCCAGTCAGTCCGAGCATCACAGTGTCCCAACGCATACGACAAATTAGAAAACAGACAGTAGGGAGTAGAAGAACCACACGCAACCTAACAACTCCTCAGAAAGAAGCACACCACAAAAAGAAAACCCCTCCCCAGATTGCAACGA